AAAAAAAAAAAAAAAAAAAAAAAAGGTAAAAAGAACCTATAAGGCAGTTTGATAAAAGTGCAAAACGAAGTATATGGACAAAGTATTCATTCTTTCTAAGAAGAAGAAGTGTTTAGGGCCAGCTGGTCAGACCTACTGAGGCCGCTCCCCGAGGCCCAGGACACACTCCTGTACACGCCTTCATTTGCCGGCCCAGCCTTCATTCTAGCAAGCGCGCAGGTACAGGCCGGCTGGAACCTGTGGTCGGAGCCTGGGGACCTGCTGTGACCCTTCTCAGACTCTTCTCCAAAGGCCAGGGGACAGAGGGGAGCTGGGAGGTGGGATTGGCGCCACCAGCAGAGCCTCCCTGTGACCCAGGCCGCCTTCTCCAGAGCGGCGGTCATTCCTGGAAAGCAGTCCAGCCCCGGGACAGAGCCCGCACACAGCCCAAGTCCCCGCCCCAGTGGAAGGAGTGAGTGCAGAGGCCGGGACGGACAGAGGATGGGGCCCCGCAGAGAGCTGCAGGCCCTGAAGGGCCGCCCCGCTCACCTGTGCATCAGGCTGAGAGCACAGAATCGCGCTCGGCCTGTTCAGGACACGTGAAGAGGAAGTGGGTCTGGCACTCGTGAAAAGGTCCTAAGAGCAGGGGGAGGGGCTCGGACGTTCCTCAAGTCCACCAAAGCCGAGAACCTGCAGCCTCAGCCTGGCACCCCACTCCAATCCCCACATCTCCCGTGCAGTGGTCAGGCAGTGCCAGCAAGCCAGATGCCAGCAGTGGCCGTCTGCACAAGAAGGTGTGGGGAAAGCTATTTTGAGGAAGGAGGCTGAAAACCCACCTCCCAAGGTAGAACCGGGTACAAGGTCAAGGTGCCAGGGGCACAAGGAGCTTGAAACCCATAGTAAGAGCAGGTCAGGACCAGAGGTGAGTTGCTTCAGCGACATGGGAGTGGCCTCAGAGCCCTGATGGCTTTGACCCACGACAGATGTCAGGTGGCTTTGCCTGGTCCGTCCTCCCACGTGGAGTGTCATAGCCTACAGGCTCCTCAGAAGTACAGCAAGCGTGTCATCAGCACTGTGGTATTTTCTGAACCAAAAATTATGACATACTTCAGCGTATCCCTGTGTCATCAGGGGACTGTAAAGAAGACTATCTTTAAGGCCTTTGTGCTCAAAGCTGTTGAAGATACACAGTCAACAAGGCCAATTTAGAGATAGAGAGAGCTGTCAGGCCCAGCTCTCAGGTTGTGAGCAACAGAAACTGCAGTTATCTGACTTAAGGATAAAGAGCATTCATTTGTTTGTGTTTGGCTGGTTGAAGGGGCTGGTATGTTTTGTAGTTCCTGGAATCTTGGAGGTCATTAGAAAAGACCCAAAGGGCATACAGCCAGAAACGATAGCCAGCGCCACCCCCATGAAGGCCCCACGGCACCTCCCCAACCACATACGTCCAGCCACACTTGTGAGAAGCTTGCTGTTCCCATGTGGAATCCATTCCACAAGGCCCACGTCCTCCCCTGTCACTAACTTTCCGCCCCGCGTGAGGCTGGCAGAACCGAGTCCAGCACGCAGTGCCCTGGGGGCAGTGAGACTGGGAAGTGTGCGCCGGGCAATCTCACCTCCAGCAGCAGGAGTCGGGCTCTGTCCCGCGTGGTGGGGAATTTCCCACCACAGGCAAAGGGCACGGATGCTGA